AGCGCCTGGCGCTCGTAAAGATTTAGTACAAGGGGTCTAGGATCGGGAACCCATATTCCTTAGAAAATTTCTTGGACTTCGGGCACTGGAATTTTTTTACCGTAAGTCTCAAAAATGTGTTGTGTTGTAGTTGCATAATGTGGGAAATTTCTTTAATTGTTCGATGTTTTGTGATTTTATGTTTACATTATAAAAGATCATGTTCTTGTAACGTACGTATGTGTGTGTGTGTGTGTGTGTGTGTGTGACTGAATGTGTTCATGTAACTATGTGCATATTAACCAACAGGTAATTTAGGAACATCTATTTTTTATGCACACGCCAAGAACAGAAACAGATGATGACACAGAAGGAGTCTCACCATTTAAAGTCTACAGTCAACGCAGTAATAATGTGACGAGTTATTTAACGACTGATTGGGATTCCTGAAGACGAAGACGTGTGGGCTTTCACAGCAAACATTCTCCGTCAGTTTATGTTTTAACTTTTACTACGCAGTATACACAATCAAACCATACCCCCGGCCGGGATTGAACCCGCGGTCATAGAGTCTTCAAACTCCAGCCGTAGCGCTAGACCACTAAGACAGCTAGCCACAATAAGATTCATCCAAATGTATTTTCTACAACCATTAGGAAAGTTAGCAAAGGCACCTCTTGACCACAAATGCAAGTTTTTACAGACGAATCTCCAGCTAGCGTGGCCGTGACGAACTCTAGCTCAAGTCCCTTCACTGCCGTCAACTCACTTAAGAAATCGTAATACCGATTGCAAATAAATCCATCCCCCGGCCGGGATTGAACCCGCGGTCATGATCAAACCAGCCGTCGCGCTAGCCAATAGACCACTAGCCACAATAATTCATCAAACAGGTATATTTTACACATAGGAAGATTAGCACAGGCACCTCTGTGACTTACAAAGTGCAAGGTTTTTACAGAGCAAATCTCCAGCTAGCTGGCCGTGAAGGACTTGACAAGAGATCGCACGGCCAACGCTAGCTGGAGATTCGTCTGTAAAAACTTGCATTTGTGGTCACAGAGGTGCCTGTGCTAACTTTCCTATGGTGTAGAAATATACCTAGTTGGATGAATCTTATTGTGGCTAGCTGGTCTAGTGGCTAGCGCGACGGGCTGGAGTTTTGAGACTCTATGACCGCGGGTTCAATCCCGGCCGGGGGTATGGTTTATTTGCAATCGTGTCATTACGATTTCTTAAGTCATACACAATCACTTTTATTGAAGTTGCTCAGTCTGCGCATTCGTCTTGACTGCAGCTACACAGTTTATTTACATTTAAATATGATCTTCGTAGTAATCGACATATCTTAAGACAGTACCAGGTAGAGGTTACCTTTGTTTATTGTTGTGCGAAACCCATTTATGTCATATGTTGACCAAGTTATGGGTCAACACATGACCAAAACAACTTTTCAGGAGAGACATTTCTCGTGTTTCCTGACAAATAAACCTTCACCAGCATCATTAAACTCAGATAATTCTAATTTAAATCCAGATCCGGTGATTACAATAAAAAGCGTCATCACAAACACTTCGTCACAATATCTATCTTGGCTACAATTAATATTAAACATGATTTTTACATGTATTTTAAGGGGAAGAATCTAACCCCGCAAGGAACACTTAGGGTGCTTAGGATATAGTACGTAATCAGGTTTGATCAGTGGAAGGGAGGGTAGCTCAAATTCCTTGGATTAAAGACCCTTCATCTGCATCAAGGGATATTAAAGAGCACCAAGCACAAAAGGCAAACATATAAATATAAATATCTCGAAAATAGGAAATAAAATGTAGCAAAGCCAAACATATTAATCAATATGAGAATTACAGGGGAAAAATTAAAAGGAAATTGTTTTGTGAATTCTATTACATTTCAATGTAATTCTTTATTTCAGTTTTTTCCAATAAATGAATGGGTCGGATGTTTTTTAATATATATATATATATATATATATATATATATATATATATATATATATATATATATATATATATATATATATATATATATATATATATATATATATATATATTAACGAATATTCGAAACCCATCGAGAGTGTAATTTATCCTCCTTCAAGCGCTTACAATATTTGTCATAATATAAAAAATAAAAAAGACGACATTCATTAATCCGATCCTCTGGTAGTCCTCTGTTATGATAGTACATTCCAATCCTCTACTACAGTCCTCTGTTCCGATAGTACATTCCAATCCTCTACTACAGTCCTCTGTTATGATAGTACATTCCAATCCTCTACTACAGTCCTCTGTTATGATAGTACATTCCAATCCTCTACTACAGTCCTCTGTTCCGATAGTACATTCCAATCCTCTACTACAGTCCTCTGTTCCGATAGTACATTCCAATCCTCTACTACAGTCCTCTGTTATGATAGTACATTCCAATCCTCTACTACAGTCCTCTGTTATGATAGTACATTCCAATCCTCTACTACAGTCCTCTGTTATGATAGTACATTCCAATCCTCTACTACAGTCCTCTGTTCCGATAGTACATTCCAATCCTCTACTACAGTCCTCTGTTATGATAGTACATTCCAATCCTCTACTACAGTCCTCTGTTCCGATAGTACATTCCAATCCTCTACTACAGTCCTCTGTTATGATAGTACATTCCAATCCTCTACTACAGTCCTCTGTTATGATAGTACATTCCAATCCTCTACTACAGTCCTCTGTTCCGATAGTACATTCCAATCCTCTACTACAGTCCTCTGTTCCGATAGTACATTCCAATCCTCTACTACAGTCCTCTGTTCCGATAGTACATTCCAATCCTCTACTACAGTCCTCTGTTCCGATAGTACATTCCAATCCTCTACTACAGTCCTCTGTTCCGATAGTACATTCCAATCCTCTACTACAGTCCTCTGTTCCGATAGTACATTCCAATCCTCTACTACAGTCCTCTGTTCCGATAGTACATTCCAATCCTCTACTACAGTCCTCTATTCCCGGTCTCTGTTCCTGTGTTTGTGTTTTATTTCAGATTCCTGTTTAGTATTCTTTTCAAGGTCTTCATTTCAATCCACTTGTTCAGGCCTCTGTTCCGATCATCTGTTCCATTTATCTTCTCAAGTTCTCTGTTTCTCTTTGTTCCAGCAAATATGGTTAACTCTGCTTATCTCTAGCCCTTTGCTCTACTCACCTCTAGTCCTCTAATATATTCACTTCTAACCCTCTCCTATATTCATCTCTAGCCCTCTGTTATATTCATCTCGTGCTCTTTATCATATTCATCTCTAGCTGACTATTTTATTCTTTCTAGTCCTCTGTTTTATATATCTTCTATCTATCCTCTCTTCTACTTGTCTGATTCATCCATATGTGTATTCTAGTTATTTACTCTGGTGCTGTGTTATCTAACACTTGATGAAGCTCCTCTGTTGCCGGACAGAAAATATCTCAACAGATGGTGAAGAGGCGATGTTGTCGGACTCAACAGATTCATCAAATGAAAGTTAGTTAGTTCTTCCGGGTCTCGAACCCTGGACCCCAGTGGTGAGAGGCATGACTCTCACCACTGGGCTACCCCGTAGGGTATCCATCAAATGAAAGAGTTCTACTTTTCCCAAATAACAGGAACTAAATGGCTGGCTGAAGGAAGGCAAAATACTGACCTCTTGGCCTCATTACAGAACGTTTCTCTCAAAGCTGATATTGAAAACCAAATACCCGCACTTTGAAGATAAACCTTATGACGACGTTTCAGTCTGTCCGAAACTATTGCCGAGTCATAATTCTCTTTGGTGATGATTCCTATTTATTCTGTTTCGTTATCTTGGGAAGCTAACTAATGCATGAAGCTTTGTTCACGGAAGACCTGCTCTGCACTATCTTTGTAATATTCATAATGGTTAAAATTCCTTCTTAATTTACCAAAGACAACTGAAATGTTATGATGTCATTCTGGTTATTAATTCCCTACACCCCCACCCCCTTCAGGGCAGTGGCGGACCTGCATTTTTGGGGCCCTGAAGCTTGAACTGTTATGGGGGCCCTTCGCAACTCCTTCACATACAGTAGACCCCAAATTTTTAAGCAATGTGGACTAAGGTCGCTTTTGGGGCCACTCCGGGATAAGGGGCCTTGAAACTTAAGCTTCATTAATTTCACAGTAGATCCGCCCCTGCCATCCGGTAATAAAAATCAGAACACCTCAAAAAAATATTAAATGCAAATAACTAAATAAGCGCTAAATCTATATAGGTTATTCAGCGTCAGTATGATGGAGGCTTAATACTCCGTCTGTTGATTACGAGAAAAACTATTTTCGTAATAAGACATTCCCTGTAAAAGGCTTGTTGTATCTGGAGTTCTTAGGTGTTACCCCTGGATGCGACCCACTGCAACGGACTATTTTTTAGATATCAATTTACTGTGTCAGGGACAGGTGTCAGGAGACTTGCAATTCTGTGCAATGTAGAGAAAAACATCTAAAAGGTATGTTGTGCAACTGAGATCAAGTGAGGAACAATAATGTGAAAAAACGTCGTGAGAAGCAGAAAATTTCATAAAGGAGTTGGAAAGAAGACAGAAGAAAACTAACTAATCTGGTGAAAAGTTTAAAAAAAGAGAGAGTACGGCACATGAGGTAATATACAGTACATAAAAGCAATAATAAATGACATAAAAAACATGAAGAAAACACTTCAGGCAGACACAGGTAGAGGAAGACCTTCATTACCAATCAAAATCAGAGAAATCTCACATTTAATGAAGCTATGTTCACCACTGGAGGTGTCTTCTTATATAAGCCCACTTCAGCATCACCAGCGTCAGCAGCATCACCTGCAGCAGCATCCTTCGACGAGGCTGGGACGATTAAAAAAAAAAAAAGGCGTAGAAACTTTCCACCTACAAAACCAAAAGAGCAACTCACCTCCCAGTCGGGCTGCGCGTGGACTTGCAACATGCAAACCTACATTCACCGTGTTGCTTGGGGTTTGTACTTACCAGAGGTCCAGGGGCAGTTGTTCCGAGCTGTGGAGTGAATGCAAGCAATCATCGCTAGGGTTTCAGAGATGCTTGGGGGAAAGCGATCCTACGAACACACATACAATGGCTAATGGTAAAATAAAAGCTCTTTTTATGGGTTAACAATAAACGCGAAAAAAATGAGAATGCAAACGCAATTAAATGCTGTATTAATATGGGATTAATTATAGTTAATTGTATTTGGGAGCAGAGCCTGTCTGACAAGTTTAAATCATGCTATTAGTGACACACAGAAAGCAATTATGTAGCTATCCATTTTATGGCATGGCACAATTAGAAAAAACAAACTAAAGCAATTCCGTCCTAATGCTCGTCATATCCGACAGCTAGACAGAAAGCTTACTCTTCTCAGATGTAGGAGTAACCCCGTGAGAGCCGTCTCATAACAGAAAACGTGAATTAACTACTTGAAACTACTGCCAACAGCTGAGAGGAATAAGTTAAGTGACCTAATATTTCAAGCCTTAGTAAATTTAACATAAAACAAACCCAAAATAGAAGATGAGGTAAAAAAAAAACATTCCCAATGAATGGAGAGTTAATACATCAGTAGTCTAACATAACAGTTAACGAGGTTCCAAAAGTTGCATAGGACAAGCCTAGTGCATGTCCATAAGACTAAGAGAAAAATATTAAGCTTGTGATTGGCAGACAATGAAAACATCGTTTTGGAACACTTAGAACTAAAAGCTTAACACGTAATGTAAAAAAAGGGGAAGAACCCAGAAGGAGAGAGAGCCCAACATAGCAGAATATAATCGGAAAAATGTAAAGGGAGAAATGAGACCGTAGAGCAGAGTTTCTGGCAATATTTCTCAACCTGTGGAGTTTTGTTTAGCGCTTCGTCTGGTAGGAAAGTTTGGCAGAGAATATAAAGTCGCCCATCTCGGATGCTGCCAGTGACACCCACCTTTAAACCAACGAGATAAAACAAATTCTTGGTCTCATTTCCTTATGGTTTTTCGTCAAGATCTAATTAAGATTTTTTAATCAAATATTTAGAGACTATGTTTTACTTATATTTATTCATCTCAGACCGATTTCGAGGGCTCATCTCCTCCCGGAGTCCGGCCTGAGGCGAGGCTACCCTGTTGATCCCCTGGTCAACCAGTCTGTTTGTGCTAGTGGCCCGTAGATCCAGTCATCCCAACCCGGCTAAACCGGCACTTGATAAACTGGAAAAATGTGCAACACTTGGGTATCTTTAAAGAGGAAACGTTTCGCCACACAGTGGCTTCATCAGTCCATACAAAAGAGAATCGTGAAGAACAGGAGGAGTTTGACGTAATCAGTCCCTCAGCCTTGAGACTGATTACATCGATTCAAGGCTGAGGGACTGATTACCTCAAACTCCTCCTGTTCATCACGATTCTCCTTTGTATGTACTGATGAAGCCACTGTGTGGCGAAACGTTTCCTCATTAAAGATACCCAAGTGTTGCACATGTGTCTAATTTATCAACTTGTTGGTTGTCTGAACCATTTATCTACAAGCCGGCACTTGTAGAAGAAAGCTATCCTTCATCCTGAAGACTTAGAAGTTCGTTTCGGCAACATGTGAAGTGAAAGATATATAATCAATACAAAGACCTCAGCTCAAAGACTCTTACATTCTCTTCGGTTTCAAGTATATGTTTTCAGGTGAAATAATTTTTTTATTAGTAAAACATCTTTGATAAGCTTAGATTAATAGTCGTCGATATAATCTACAGAAAGTTTAGTTTGCCTCGAGTGTGTTGCGGGGGTCGACGCCCCTGCTCCCTGGTCCCAGGCCAAATCTCCCGGTGGATGGCCTGATTAACCAGGATGTTCTTAGTAGTCGCACGAAGACCAACACAAGCACCACGGCCCGACTGATTAGGCACCGACTGGAGAGACTTGTCCATTTCCCTGTTGAAGACAGCCAGGGGTCTATTGGTAATCCTCCTTGTGTATGAAGGGAGGGCATTAAAAAGTCTTGGTTCTTTCGCTACTTACTGTAGATTCCGTGCTAAAGCTTCCAACCTCTACACTGATGTGTTTTCTCAAAGGAAGCTTTTGCACTGTTTTAGGGTTTTGTATGTTTTTTTATAAGTTGTGAACAATCGGTTTCAAACCATTATCACCGATGTCATGAAAGTATGACTTCAAATAACAAAAAGGCACAATACCGTGCCTGGAACCATACACAAATAACCCGTCCTTGTCTGCTGGCCTATATATACTCCCTCCTTCTCTCCTTTCTGTTAGTGTGACTTTATAAATGGTCCAAATCGGACCGATACGTCGTCGTAAGCTCCTCTTTCTTATGTGCGGGTTATGTGTGTATGACTTCAAAGCGGCTTCAGACTTAGCGCTGGTGTATATATACGGATATTGGTCTCTGTAAGATATCTAGAACATACCTCTCCTGTATGACTAACTCTGTACACTTGATGTGTCTTAGTGAAAGGTTCGACGTGGTTTTGGGATGTGCAGGTGCCAATTTGCAATCCTTAAAAAAAATTAACGTGTTAGTTTCCATGCGATGTCCTGTGAATGGCTCTTCTGATTGCTTTTAACTCTTTATCGCTGATATTAAACTGTATTAGAAACTTATGCTCCACCATACACTATTCCTTTACCGAGAATTGAGATAGAGAGGGCTGAGCTTATGAGTTATGAGTGTCTTTTCGGGATCTTTCAAAGACCAACATACCTCTAGTCTAAATTTGCTTCTGTAAGTTTTTGTTTTTTTCAAGCGGCGATGGTTGTGAGCTTTGAGTCGAGTGCAGAGTTAAGGCTAAAGAGAATTAAAACAAAATGGAACCTTTAAGTTCCTAGAAGTCCAGCCTCCTAGCAATGCTTTAATTTTTGCCCTTGGGAATGACTGCCGACTTCTCTAACACATTGTGAAGACCTCAGTCTCATGTTCCTGGACTAGAGCAGCGATCAGTGGCTCGGTGCGGTTTGTGTTGCTTTTTTGTAATTTGCAATGTTGTCCACTTCATTTGGCGACTCAAATATATCTTTGGGTGTTTAGCTTAACCTTTAGTGTTCTGGGAATGCCTGTATGGCGGATCATATATGTTTGACAAAATACGAATCGGTTCTACTGCTTCTGAATCATGAAATAAAAGACTTCGAAACTCCCATTGTGGCTTGAACGTTCTGAAATAGATTTGAAGTGAATATCGTCATATACCAGTCATTATCAATACATTCTTGGAATTACTCTCTCGTAGAAAATAATGGTTAAACATTTACCTAGTTCAGCTCTTCTTAGACGCAGAATCTTTTGGTGAATATGCAGTGATATTTTCAAAATATTTTCACTGCCTAGATCTCTTTTCAGAAACTTACGCGAATTTTAAGAAAGGTAAATGTTGCTTCTGAAGGCGCGGCTCTTCCTGTTTTTAACTCTCGGGATTTCAGCAGTGACGTAAACCGAGTGTATATATATATATATATATATATATATATATATATATATATATATATATATATATATATATATATATATATATATTTTAATATGAATGTTGTCTTTGAGATTCTTGTGATGATCTGAATCTGCACAGGAACAGTGGCAGCATGAGGCAGCTGTGTTTGTTTGTTGCAGCTCCGAGGAACATGTGACGGTCTTGAACACCCAACAGGCAGTTGGTAAGAGCTTCCCAGCGTCAGCAGATTTGTTCTGAATCTTGGTATGGTTGGGGTGGCTTGACTGGGAGAAGGAAGGTGGTGGTTCCAGTGATGGTAAAGGTGCGTGGCGTGTCGGGAAATGGCGTTGGCGTGGAAGTAGGGAGCGTGAAGAGGTGAAAGACGGTCTTGGAGTAGTTAAGGAGGCGAGTGGCGTTATTGGGATGGCGTTTGAGTGGGAATGGGGTTCAGAAACAAAAATGTCTAGGACTTCACTCTTAAGGAAGGCACCTCTAAAAAGGCATTTGCAAAAGTTGTAGGGCGAAGACCACAGCCCTGTTGCTGCTGCTTCTTCTCTCATTCATGTTGTTGCTTTCCTCGTGAGTTGGCTTTCACTGTTTCTTTTAGGATAATACTGAAATTCTCCTTGGATTGCTGTTGATATTTATGCAGTTTCTCTTGCTGATCTTGTTGACATTGATATCCTTCTCAGGCTAATGTTTTGTAGTCTGAGGAAACCACATTCTCAGGCTACCGTTTTTTTTCCTTGTAGTCTCGGATACCTACCATTGTTATTCCTCCTGCTTCTAGTTTCACGCTATTGTTTTTGGCTGTTGATACTATTTGACTTACACGTGCCCGTACAACATACAGTTGGTTATTAATAAAAATTGTGTTGAGATTTGCATTAGCGTTATTGCAAGACTCTTGATACAAGATGCTGTAAAGAACCGATACAAATAAATGTGAAATATAATCCGGTTGAGTTACGAGAATGAGACGCAACGTCGCGCTTGTAGGGTTCTTGTGTCGCTCCGTTAACCACTTCCGTACCAGTCAAAGGGATGAGTGTGTCTTCATTCAGCTGAATGCTGTGCGACGACGTAAGTAGAGACAGCATCATGCAATGAAGATACCCGTCATGAATATATCATATAGTCACAATACTGACGTGCAGCAATAAAGGTCTCTAAGCTAACACACCATGTAAATACAAGGGCGATAAACGCGGTGCAAAGGTCGTCTAAAGGTCAGGTTGGGTGACGTGCCCTTGTCTAGTCTTTGTGAATACAGAGCGGAGTGATGCGCCCGATGGGGAAAGCGCAGCCTCTAAAATGGTGGAACTTCAACACGAAGGACAAGCAAAAGACAGACTACTTCACCTTCAGACTCCGATTCGGTGCTGCTTGAGGACTCCTTGGATGCCATGGTGAGACAGGAGCGCTACAGGAGGCGCAGGCCAGGGAAAGGTTTATCCAGAGAGAGCACCACCAGCACCAGCACCAGCACAGAGTTTAGGAAAGCCAGGGAGACTCGCCATCCCGGCAGAGAGCAACCACGTGTCTCTCGGGCGCTCTCCACATCAGCCTGGGCTGGCGGTGGAGT